TATTACCTGAAATGACGGCCATTTTGTTAATTTCCCAAAACATCTGAGTGAACTGACTTAAAGAGATTCTGACTTGATCTGCAATGCACTAAAATCATGCAAAAACATTCACACAGCCTGTTTGCATTGCAAGCAGATGCACTTGAGGTGATTGACAGCTGCTGCATTATTATGATCACCTGAGGCACTGGGCTGCACAAGACTGCTGTTGTGACACAATTGTGAAAGGAAAGAAGTGATCTTGTGATCAAATGAGAGAAGTGAAGCGCAAGCGAGGAGTGGTGGAAAATTACAGACACTTTAGTCAGAGGCTAGACGCTGTTTTGGTACACAGCTAAAGTAATGCTTCATATTGGGGTGGGTAGCATCTTAATTCAGTCAAGCTGATGTAAACGTGGGCCAAAACAAGGGCTGTAATCACAACAACCACAGCAGGACTCGCTGCACATGCAGAGGCAGAGCACCAAGTCAACCATCGAGTTGTTTACTGTCAATTTGGGGTTGTATTAGTGTTTTTTCCCCTGAAAAGCAGATGTTCACAAACAATATTAAAACCACTTGGCATGGCTGTGCATTTCAGCTAAATTGTGATTAATAATGTGAAATCTTAGATTTACAAGTTTTATAGACTGTAAAATTGTACTTTAATTCCACCCTCAATCATTTCAGATAATGAGAAATTAATGGTTCTCAAATGTTTTTTTTTTTTTTAGGATCCAGATTTTACTTTGCACAACAAGTGGCGATCCAGCATGCCACAGTATGAGAAACTGTTTAGTTCAGGTTTCTTTTCTTTTTTTCTTAGGGTTTTCGAAGTTAACCGTAAAAATGCTCTGGAATGATATTTATAGTGAAAAATGCTATACAGTTAAATACATGCTATACAATTAAATACATACATTAAATTCATGCTATACATTCTAATTGTGGGTAGAAAAGTATGAAACAGTTCACCCAGTAATTATAATTTGCTCATAGTTTACTCACCCTCAGTTCATCCAAGATGTTTATTTCTTCATCAGAAAGGATTTAGAGAAATTTAACACCAATGTCGACCATTGGATCCGAATGGGTGACGTCAAAATGAGAGTTCAAAAAGCTGATAAAAACATCACAATAATCCACAAGTAATCCACTCCAGTCCATCAATTAACACCTTGAGAAGCGTAAAGCTGCATGTTTTTAAGAAACCAATACATCATTAAAGCATGTTAACTCTAAACCATTGCTTCAAGCCCAAATATAAATAAAAAAAGAGTTTATAATCCATAATAACGTTTCCTCCAGTGGAAAAAGTCCACCCCCTGTAATTTTCTTACCTCAAAGTCCACCAACACATTTATTTAGAACTGTTTTCGACTGTTTTTGCTTGTAAACGGTGTTTGAACTGTACATATTTCTCTCCTGATTCAGACAAGACGACTTGTTTAGCCAAAAGCTTGTTTGAAGTTAAAAATGTCTTAGTGATGGATGTGTTTCTTTTCAAACATGCAAATTCTTACTTCACAAAACGTTAACTGATGGACTGGAGTTGGATTACTTGTGGATTATTGTGATGCTTGGACTCCCATCCTGACGGCACCCATTCACTGCAGAGGATCCATTGGTGAGCAAATAATGTAATGCTACATTTCTCCAAATCTGATGAAGAAACAAACTCATCTACATCTAGGATGACCTGAGGGTAAAGAGTAAACATTCAGCAAGTCTTTTAAACATAAATATATTGATGCTTTATATTTTAAAAAAGGGGTGACTCACAAGATGATCCTCCTATTTTTTAGGCAACAAAAACTTTGAAAACCGGTTTAGCTTACAAAAGTACCTGTACTGTCCTTACTGTACATCAAATATTAAAATGTAGCCTATAAACTGACACTTTCTGCATGGTACTTTTCCTGTTGAAATGCAGCTGAATCTGACTTGCACCTTTAATGAGACTCTCTGGAGGTTTACAGTTACCAATGGCCCACTTATTCAGACAGCTGATATTAAATTAGAGATGTTCTCGTCTTGAGGTTCAGGTAAAGGCTGTCCAGCTCAAAGGGCCCGAGGTGCTGTGATGGTTCCTCTTACCTATCAATGTCTTTGGCAGGACTCACACTGCAAAAGTTGCTACTGAAGTGATCTACCAGATGAGCTAGAGGAATCACTCTGTAGGCATAAATGACAGGAATTTTCACTGAATTTCGCTTGCTTCTTTCATATTAATACACTAAGACTACTTTATCGAAGCATAAGTATTGACACAGCAGTGCTTATACGGACATTGGCCAGTGGCGGCGCAGCTGAGGAGCGAGACTAGGAGCTGCAGCAGTGATGCGCGTTGGAGGCGCGCTTTTCTGAACACAGGAAGCGGGCGCTTTAAGGAGACGCGCTGCTGCCGCGAACGGGAGGCAGGCCGGTGTTTTTCCACAACTGATGTCTAATGGTCACCCATGTTGAGAGACAAAGGTCAGGAAAAAAGCTCATAAACTAAATTTACCGCTGCCGCTGTTATTCAGCACCGAGCCGCCGCACAATACAGAAGGGACAAGAGCGTTTCAAAGGAATTAAAGGAGATAAACATTAAAGGTAACGTTATTTCCCATGTTTGCTCGTTGGATTTTGTATAACGCACGGATGTGAGAGCACTGATGTTTTATTTTATTTTTACCTTAATTTACGACGTTTTCAGAATCTTTCAAAATCTTTTTTTCACAACATTACTTAAAATTCAACAGCTTGTCTTATTGTCACACATGCTGAAAAGAGTTTGTTAAGGGATCCAGGAAGTACTTTAACAGTTCATTTAGAATATTTTGTCTAATGTTATTATAGGCTATTTTAACAAAGCCTTCAGTAGCTAATATAGCCATATTATAAGATAATAATATAATGGGTTGTTTCATTTTTTTTATGATTCATGATGATTTGACAGGCTTTTAAACTGGTGGTCCATAAGAAGCAATTCTGTGCTGCTCAATGCGTTTGTGTTGATGCTGTCACTTGTCATTGAGTTTCTTACACTCCCACACTAGACAACTGAGTGCTGACTGCATGGAGTTAAGAATAGACAGCTTGACGTCCCTCGATGAATATGTATCATTGTAAACTAGTAATATATAATGTATTACATTTTGGAAGTAACTTACCCAACACTGATCATTGAGGGTTTTAAAAACACGAGATATTCACCTCAACAGCGTCAAGCCGGTGAAATAAAGTTTGACGTTACAAATGAACATTGTACGCACACAAAGATGCGACTGTAGATGCAGCCGGAACGGTGCGTCAACAACCTGTTGGATGCGTTCTCAAGAAAAACGGTAACATTTCGCGAAAGTTTGTGATACGGACGCGCCTCCTCAAAGTAATCGGATGTAGGAGGTTTACAAGACCAATGTCGTTGGTCTTGTACGCGTATTTGGCGACGGTTCACACAAGGACGCGTTCCTGCGTTTAAAAGCGAAACGAAGTGGAACTGAAAGCAAGTTGAGGGGGTTTAAAAAGCTTCTAAGGCGGCGTTTACATAGAAAACGTTTCCTTCTTAGAATGTTGTCAGCGTCTTGCTGTAAGTTCCTCGGTTCTAAAAACGCCGTTCCCAGTTTAAAAAACCCGTCTCGAGACACCACTTGTGTGAACGGTTCTTAACAAGATTGCTTTTAACTTGACACGCCATATATTATAAACGCTATGCTAAGTAACGAGATGCTGCGAACCGGCCAAATACAATAGCTTTTCGTCTGAACCAGCATCCTAATGAACTGACAGTGCAACTAAAGTTGTCTCGCAAACAGGTTCACCTCATCTAGAAGCCTCCTTTGGGTTATGCGGAAGTCAGGCAGCTCACTTTGCAGTCCCTGCTCAAACACAATACAGGATACAGAGTTTAGGTTTCTGTGCACATTGCCAGCTTGCATACCTAGCACACTGATAATAACAGCCACAATGCGTTTGGAACAGATGCCATTTTCTTAGTGAGGACGAAAAAAAGCTAAACAGTTATTCAGTGTGTGGTCTAGGGCCTATATCTTAGTGTGTCATAAAAGAGAACTGCAAATATATGAGCCTATCAGCTGCTTTTTAATTGATGTCAATAAAAAAGTAAGACTTGTTAACAAAGGCGATACTGTGTCATGACTGCCAACAAACAACTCTGCCCAGAATTTAGTTAACCACTTTAGACTTTGAACTTTTCTAGCATGTTTTTTATTTTTATTTAGTTGTTTCTCTTTAATATAAATTTTGAGGCAAATTTCACATCGAGCAGACTGAATAATGCAAAATTTGTATTCAGTTCAGTTTCCTAAAAAATCAACAATATGAAAAAGAGGACAGATAGCAGAACAGCACACTTTCTGAATGCAGTTCACTGACCCGGTTCACTTTTAAATATAATTTTTACCACTTTACTTTTTTATTGACATGCAACAGTCCCTGTACCCAGATTTGCCACCCATAAAAATGCATCTTGCATGTATTTGTCTTTTTTTCCCCTAGTAAATTATAGTGTCTTCAGCTTTCAACTTGTTGTTTTGGTCAGACGACAAATATCCCCCTTGAATAAGCATGACATTTTTAGAATCATAAATATACAAGGGTAGAAGTTCTTGGTGGACACTGGAGACGTATGACAGAAATCTGATCTAGTCTGGCTACTGTATACTGACAAGTCAGACCCGTTGACTTGATTTATGGCATAAACCGTAGATAAATTTTGGTTTTTGTGTTTTTTTTACAGGACAAATCAAAAGTCAATATGACCACATTCATGGTTATGATAATAAACAATACTGTACTTTAGAACAGATGAAGTCCTTCTTTGTGTAGTAACAATGTCAATATGTAGCAGTGTTGTTTCTTCAATGCATGTAGTGCAACAATGAAGAGCCAACAGTGTGTAAACTTTAATTATTAAACACTAGCTTAGGTTGTTCAATTACACAGGTGCTTAACTCTGAATTATTCTCCAAGAGTTGACACCATTACTTAGATCCTCTCTCATTTATATTTTATAACCGGCATACTGACCCTGAATCCACTGGGTCAGATTTGTTCTTTGCAATGTGTACTAAAAGCTAAGGGTTTTACAAATGGGTCAAAGGACACCCATGGGACTACAAGCGAGTGCTTTGGAATATATTACAAAAAAAACAAAAAAAACATAAAGAAATATTTTTTAGGGCTGTCAAAGTTAACTTGTCAACTTACAGTACGATATACATATATTGCAGTACAAATGTTATATACACACACACACGAGCTATGCACCTTCAAACACACACACACACACACACACATATATATATATATATATATATGTGTGTGTGTGTGTGTGTGTGTTTGAAGGTGCATAGCTCTAACATTAATAATTGGTAATAATGGTAAAAATAAATACAGTGTTATCTTAATAATAAGTAAATATTTTGTAGATAATATTTTAATAATTTACAGATTTGAAAACAACATGATCCATATTTTGTCTTTCTCATACTGTAAAAAAAATCATATCAAAATGCATAACAACCATTATATTTTAGTAATGGTCCTTGCAAAAAGTTTGAAATCATTTGAGGACTACGGTGGGACCACCTAATCAATGCCCCACCATGACCACAGCACTGCGGCAGAATGCAAATGCAAACGTCATAATCTCTAGTGATACAGTTTGGTTCACTATAGGCAGTGCATGAGAGCACAATGCATCACGTCAACGATTATGTACAAGTGGATCAAACTCTGCTGTCAACGCTTGACTTTAATGTTCATGACTTCAGTTTCATGCATCATTGCTACATTGTGAGGGTTACATAAATGGATAAGAGTGTGCTTATAACGCTCCGGACTCCGTTTATGTGGTGGAATGAGTGCAGAAAGGAAGGAATTTAATGTGAGAGCACTCAGGAAATGTACATGGTTCTAAAATAGGGATGGTTACGTAATGAGCCAAGTGCCTCGTGCCGACTCCAGACCTGAAGTCTCCCTCGATAGTTGGGACTATGTAGCAATCCTGCTGCTCAGCTGAGATGACAAAGTTAATGGCCCAACAAATCCCTGATGGCCACAGGCTACGTGACCTATAGATGCGGAAGAACAAATCACTTCCAATTAGGAGCTTCTTGGAGGCGACTGATTGCGGATTCCGGAGTGAAGCTGCTCCATCTTGAAGGTGCGATTGAAGTCTATTGTTTCTACTTGGGAATCAAACAGACCTAGTCAGTGTCCCAAAGTAGGCTGCCATGTGTCACACATTTCACAGCAATCCACAGCACTATGTGCTAAAAGGGCAAAAAATGCCAGCGGATCCTTTGTTCTGTATTTTTTAAACAAATTGCCTGATCCAAAATTAATAGAAATGGTCCTGTGAGCACAAATCACCATTGTCCCTTTATCATGGCTGTGCTGCCAAATGCAAAAGGCTGAGGGAAACGAGTCGTACAATAGGCTTTTGTTACTCGTCACATTTAGCCCTATGCAAATGTGCTGGGCCTTGTCTTTGCTTCACTGCTGACCAGAATCTAAGTCAGACTTGTCAGTCAGTCAAATATTGTGCTCTCTCTTCAAACCACTTAACAAAAAGTATATAATTGTTCTTTGTCAAAGTATGTTAAGCTAAGCTACTTGTCTTGAAAAGACAAGCTATTAATGGCAGGAGCCTGGAAACCATCAGCTGTTCAAGTGAAACGCAACAGAGGTGTGGATTGCTGTCCACATGCTCTTGTTTGTCACGTCTGCGGCTCGGGTTGCCACAAGTGGACGCCACACATGCAAAGATAAATAGTTTCAGATAGATCTCTGATGCATCTGGGGAGTGGAAATTTACCATCCAGCCGACCGCCGCTCGGGTTATCCACTGCTCCAAAGCTGCGACCAATCTACTGATTGCTTTTAATTGTCTTAGTCTGTGGGCGGGTCGTGGTGTCACCTCGGCTTACACTGAGCCCTGGAGAGATTGGGGCGGTGTGGTCAGAGGTATGGTGTCTGCTGAGAGAACAACATAGACCAATTGGATTCAGCCATGAAGGAAATGTAAGTGAAAGGCAGTGCGTTAATTTGAGGGAATGTTTGTGTTTGTGGATAATGGGAAAGGGGTCAAATTTGAGGAATACGGTTAAAGATTAGATTTTGATTGAGTTTGTCATGTCGGATATGAAAATAATGTCTTTAAAACTGAATTTATTTTATTGACGATTAAATTATTGCCAACTCATGGGCAAAAATGGCATTGCAACAAGGCACCAACCAGTTGCATTTCTTAACCCACTTGTTTGCTTTCTTTGACTCTCGCCCAGTAAAGTTGCTTTGAGTGGAAATGGAAAGTGTCTGGAGGATTTCGCTGTAGTTATGTAACAGAACGTGCTTGAGTTGTAGCGAGCTCCTAAGCCTTTGAAATATACAGATTTAACCTACCTAAAGAGTATGAACGTAATTTCCTGAAATTTTTAGACCTTTTTAACAGTCTTGTGTTGCCAAGTGTATGATTCTGTGCTAAATTCGAAAATATAACAGAGAATCACCAATTAAATGGGAACTATTTAGTGTAAAAATAACACCCAAATTCTTTCACCGTAAAATACCGAGAAACCTCCGGAAGATCAATTTAAAAGAACTTGAGTCCTGGCATGCTGCCACACTAGTTAGCATGTTTATTAGGTCGTATGTTTAGTAAAGCAACGGAAAAGAGAATATACGTGTATTTATTGATTGTCAAACACACCGTAGATTTTTCCCCCCTCTTCTTCCGTCTCCTTGAGAGCAGGGAAAAAAGCAGGCTTGTGTTGAAGAAACCGGCCTCACAGTAGGGCTATAGTTTGTTCAAGCGTTGCCAAGCTATAAGGGAGTCTGGAACGGGTAGGGATGTTAGAGCTGACTTTGGTATCTTACTCTCTGGGATTCATCTTAGGGGCTCCAATTGGCAAGTTTGGCTCGTGCTTTGAAACAGAAGATGCCAAGCCTGACATAATTACTCAATCCTTGAATAGAATCCTGACAGCGTAAACACTGTGTTACTTAAAGGGACATGGGCAAGATAAACGCATACCAGTTTTGCATAGAACCTGCAGTGCAGGAGTTTTTATTAAATCAGATTTAATTTATGTGTGTGATTGCGTTTGGGTTTCCTTGTGGGCCATAATCCACCAGGAAGTGATTGGATTGTGAATATGTGAATATAATATTTACTTACATTTCCTTTTGAATTGATTTCCAATAATATTAAGTACAATTTATAGTGTAAGTATGAATTTACTTTGACAAACTATTTAATGTGTTAATAGGTTTATAGTGTACCAATCATTTAAAACAAGACCAGGAAAATGTTTTAGGAAAGTAAAAAGGGTCCATTTTGATTTTATGCTGACTTTAAACTAGTTGGTGTTAAATGCTGATGTGTTTTCTTACTCATTGCCTATGTGGTTGCCTGTTGGCATCATTTCATGTTGACTACAGACACACTTCACAAGAAACAAAGAAAGCGATGCAGCTTATCAGTTTTACGACTAGGTTTAATGTACTTTTGGTCATAGCTAAGTTATTGTACCAAGTATCATGGCACTTGCTTTCAGTTGTGTTGTAAATGGAAATTTCCTGTGTTCAAACCACAAAAAGGTGACGTTACTTTAATCACATCAACCATCGTGTTATGTTCTTGTGTGAACATTTCTCACACCTGAAAAAGCTGCTGTTCTAAATTAACTATTTATGTTTGACCTAATTATAAATGATTTAGAAAACCAAACAGGAACTTTTTGATGCCTGAACCTAAGGCTGTTGGGGTTCTGTCAAGAGTTCTGACCCCTTGTTTTCATTTTAGCATGGCCCAGAAGGAGAAACTTCAGTGTCTAAAGGACTTCCACAAAGACATTCTGAAACCCTCCCCGGGAAAGAGCCCGGGCACAAGGCCAGAGGATGAAGCCGAGGGGAATCACCCCCAAAGGGAAAAGTGGGCTAGCAAGCTTGACTTTCTTCTCTCAGTCGCCGGGGGCTTCGTTGGTTTAGGCAACGTCTGGCGGTTCCCGTACCTCTGCTACAAAAATGGCGGAGGTGAGCATATTTGTTAATACTTTTGAACTTTGAACACCAATGTGACAGTCATAAAAACTTAATTTCTTCACCTCATTTCTTGAATCTACTCCAAAGATCATCAATTGTATAAATTCATTCAAAAATAAAAAATCCGTCATCATTTACTCACCATCATGTTGTTTCAAACCCAAACGATAATCTTGTACTGTAGGCCACACATGGAGATGTTTAGAAGCTGCTATTTTTCCATAGAACACAAGAGAATGATTAAACTGTTGTTTTTTAAACATTTATGAAGTTTGACAAAGTTTTTCAAAGCCATACGAAAACTCATCTCATGTCATACATTATGAGTGTTCATGTGTCTCATGACCGATTACAATGCATTTTCAATTAAATGCACACGCAAATATGATTTGAGAGTGAATAATTACTTATTTTGGTCTGTTTGACAAACAGAGTCCTATGGACTACTTTTATGGTGCTTTTTTTAAGTTTGACAGATAAATCACTATCCACTATTGTTACATGGAAGACAGAATATTGTACATTATGAAAAATCTTTTCTGTTTCACAGAATAATGTAAAACATTTGGAACAACATTTCTCTTCACCCTCAGATCAACAACAACCATGCGCTAACTTTGGGAATTAGATAACACATTAAAGACATTTCATTTACAATATCTTCTGAAAAATTACCCTTAGTTTTCCCTTACATTTAGTCAACAGCATATAATTGTCATATCACTAACTTTCTTCACACAACAGAGATACAGAAAGAGAATGAGAGCAAGTGACAAAGCCTTACACTGTACTGGATGAACTCCTTGAGGAGTACGAGTTAAACACTAATCCAGCAGTTAATAGGATATAATAATTGACAGAATAAAGCAAATCTTCTCCTGGCTCCATTTAGGTGCTTTTCTCATCCCATACTTCATCTTCCTGTTTGGTGGAGGACTGCCTGTATTCTTCCTGGAGGTGGCACTCGGTCAGTTCACCTCTGAGGGAGGAATCACCTGTTGGGAGAAACTTTGCCCAATTTTTACAGGTGAGTTTTTTTTTTAATCTAGTATTTCGTTTACCAGAGATTAAAATGGAATAGAATGGCCGTCAATGGAAAACAATGCTTTTTGCTGCCAGTTGGTGTAGTTACGGTATCTACCAGCAGGGGCAAATGGGGCCATGCCAACCACTCTGACCCCTTGGAAAGGACACAGAGTGGGAGGTGTGTCACAGATACCACCAGCTGTATCTGAAGATAGGCTGTGCAAGACATACAGATTTCATGTTAAGTGTCTGATAGGAAATAAGTATATTTATAAAAAATATCAGTTAGGGTTAACCCATCTTCCTCACCTCTCAGATCCACTAATAAGAATTATATTTTAAAAATTAGGGTAAGACTAGTCAATCTACTGGCAGTTATGAATGATGCACATTTTTATGTTTTCAAATTGTTTTGTAAATTTTTATTAAATATCTCATTAATTTATAAAGTTCCATTATCCAATACATACAGTATTCATTATGTGCTCCCATTTAAGCATGGCTCCATCTGCTAATTCCTATTGAGATATTCATGTAGACCAAAGAAGTAAACTGTATGAACACCTTGACAGTGCTCTTAAATTTCAAATATTGACATGCACCAAGAATTAGATATAATAGATTATTTCTACATGGATAAACATGTCTTTGCCACATCTTGAATAGTCCTTAAGTAGTCACTGTTGATGTATTTTAATGTCAGCAGTCTGTTTATTGCAGTCTGTCTTCTTGCTACTCTAGGGACTTGTAGAAGTTTAATTTTCAGTCTGGCTAGTAGCAGAGACAAGATAACATCAGCAGCTGTCAATTTATGTATTGGCTAAGAAGGGCAGCTGCTCATGAACAGTAGCTTGTATAATTGGATGCATCTTCAACTTGTGTGGTGTCGTGGGTAAAGCTAGATCTAGGGATCAGGAGGTTGTTGGTTCGAGCCCCACAAAGAGCAATCACCATTGCACCCTAACATGGAATCAAAACCCAGAGTAAATTACTACTTTGGAAAAAAAGCAACAGATTTCCACCAAAATATCTTTTATATAACAAAGAGTATATCAAACCTCACAAAAATGTCTTCTGACCACAAGTTCATTACTTATTTAAACAGAGTTTACCAGTGAGCAATCATTACATGCAAACTGCTGAATTACCCATATCCCTCTGCCAGTGAATGAGGTGACAGCTTTGGTCTGTTTTGCTTTCCAGTCAACCTGGCCAACATTGATTTACACAGTTCAAACTCTGAACCAATGTCTTGCATCACTTATCTCCAACTCTGGACACGTTTATTCCATGTTTATACAGAAAGCACAAGAAGGTTGCATAGAAGTTTGTCATTTATTTATCCATTCTCATGCTCCACTGGAGCACAACTCCTTTCATTGTGTTCATTAAGGTTATAATAACAAATCGCAAACACTTTGAACAACTACAATGTGATGAGTCAGTCCAGAGTGCCTTAATGTCACCATTTCTTTCTTTGTACAGGTATCGGCTATGCATCCATAGTGATCGTTTCTCTGCTGAACATCTACTACATTGTGATCCTGGCCTGGGGCTTGTACTACCTGTTCCAGTGCTTTCAGCCAGAGCTTCCCTGGGCAAGCTGCAACAACAAATGGAACACAGAAAATTGTGTGGAGGATACCCTCCGCAAGAACAAGACACTCTGGGGGGCTGTGAATGCCACTAACTTCACTTCCCCCGTGACTGAGTTCTGGGAGTAAGTACTCGTTACTTGAGTACAATTTTGTTGTGTACTTTGAAAGCCATCCAAATCCAGCTATGAGCATTTAGTTGAGAAGAAGTTGTGGGGTTATGAAGCAAAGACATTGCCTTATTTTTCTGTACAGTTGTCCTCAATCATTCCCAAAGACTCTGGAGCTTGTTTACTCTCTTAGTGATGTTGTCATTGTAAATTACTGTCTTATGGAGCCTTCAAAATACTTAATGCTATAGATTAAGGGTATTCATGAAATCCATAGTCCTGCAGAGTTTCGATTCAATCCTGATCCAACACTCCTGGTTGTAATCTTATCCCAAAGTAATCCCCCAGACTTCGGTTAGCTGGTTTAGGTCTATTTTGACTAAACCCGGTAGAACAATGGGTCCCGCCGAGCAGTTCCAATATTGCTAATGCTTTAAACCAAAGGGTCTGGAGCATGGATGGGCAACTTTGGCCCTGGAAGGTCACTGTGCTGCAGAGTTTAGCTCCATCCACCTCCATCCACCTCCTTGGTAAAACCAATCCTGAAGAGTAAGGTTAGATTTTACAAGTGTGTTTGATTAGAGACGGAGCCAAATTCTGCAGGACAGCAGCCCCCCAGTTGCCCGTCCCTGGTTTAGATCTCCAGACTGTCTTCTAAAGATGTCAGTGTTTAGCTCCACCCCTAATTAAACACACCTGATCCAGCTAATCAGGTCCTTTAGGCTTATTTGAAAACTACATGGTATGTGTGTTGGAGCAGGAATGGAACTAAACTCTGCAGGGCTGCGGCCCTCCAGGAACTGAGTTTGACACCCCTGCATTAAGGTCTTCAAGAAACTTTCTAGGTGTGATAGAGCAGGTTAAAGCTAAACTCTGCAGGAAAGTGGCCCTCTAGGTGCAAGACTGCACACAGCTGATCTAGCAGAAGGCTAGTGGTGGTATTATAACTCTATGGTGGTGTGTATTCAAGAAAGCAATGTTAACTTACCATCACACACATCCTGAACTCTCGGTTGATTAACCCAAAACTTGCTTACTTGAGGTAAGCTGGTTCCAAAACCATGACTGCAAGGAGGTCGAGTCAGCCCAGAGTATGTTCATGGTGAACAACAAGATAACCTGCTCTGCAGAAGGTTATGCTCGGAGCATAAGTTGCTATGGCTGCTTGCATACCCTGAAAGTTATGTATGCTTTTGAAACCGAAAGTTTAGGTTTTCTGTTAACTTGACAAACTCACCCGGGTATGCCTCAGAACCTGCTTTCTGGAATACTCTCCAGGTGTATCTAACCATGCTACTGGAGGACTACTCTCCCGCAGAGTTTAGCACCAATCCTAATCAAACACACCTTGAGCTACCCAAATCAAGGTCTTCGAGGTTACTTGAAATTTACAGGCAGGTATGGAGCAGGGTTGGAATGGACATCTGCATGAGGGTAGACCTCCAGAAGCGAGTTGGCTACACCTGCTCTATGGTGACTGGCTTCTTGTAATGATTTGTACTTTAACACTTATTATAGCAGGGCTGTCCAAACTCGGTTCTGGATGGCCAGTGTCCTGCAGAGTTTAGCTCCAATCCTAATTAAACACACCTAAACCAGCTAATTAAGGTAGTACTAGGCATACTAGAAGCTTCCAGGCAGGTGTGTTGAGGCAAGTTGGAGCTAAATTTCTGCAGGACACCGGCCCTCCAGGACCGAGTTTGGATGCCCCTGCTCTATAGAGAACTCTTCTGTCATGGCAGATTAAACAACTTCTCTGATTATTTGAATGGTAGCTCCTTAAACACCCTCAAGGGCTTTAGAGTGTCTCACCAGCAAACATTCTTTCCACCACAGGCGAAATGTCCTCAGCATCTCAGATGGTATCGAGCAGGTGGGTCATATTAAATGGGACCTGGCTCTGTGTCTGCTCGCTGTGTGGGTCATCTGTTTCTTCTGCATCTGGAAAGGCGTTAAGTCCACTGGAAAGGTGAGCTTGGTTTCAATACACAAATTCTTTCAGCTTTAGTCCGTTAATTTAAGAGCTACTAATAATAGTTTTCACATTGTCGTTGGGGTTATAAGTAGCTAGGGAGAATTGAATGTTACCTTAGTCAGTGTTGTCAACATAAACATACCAGCAGTTCCCTGCTTATTGGCAGCAATAGTAACTATAGCACACCTCCTTCCTAATAGAGACCGTAAAGTCAATCAGCAGACACCACCTCTTGACTTGGGCACAAGTTCCCCTTGAGCATGCACTTGTGAAACTTATCATGGTTCCAGCCAAGACGCTGTCAGAATAGATTGCTGTATAGCAATTCTAGCAATAGCTACTTTAGGATGGACTTCTTTATGCAATAAAGGCTGGTTCATGCTGCCCTAAAAACAACATTTTCAAGTTGGTGTTTGGATTTTAGTATGTTAGAAAACTGATTAAAAAAAGGCTTTAAAAGGATCCTTTTGCTCTTCACTTGAAGCCGTTTTGACTTGAAAACATGTGACTGAGCTCCATTAAAGGTGGCATATGAAAGATTACTTTCCGTTATCTATTTATTTATTTATTTGGTTACACTTTATTTCGATAGTCCACTTTAGACATTCTACTAACTATAAGTAACTTTGTTACTACATGTCAACTACATGTCAACTAATTCTAATTAATTTGCAACTACATGTCTACTAACTCTCAGAGTAGACTGTTAGGGTTACTTGCAAAGTTTCTGATAGTCAGTATGTTGTATGTTGTTGACCCATCAAAATAAAGTGTTAGAATATATTAAGCAGACAGTCTACTAATACTCTAATGACTGCTAGTTGACATGTAGTTGCAAAGTTTCTTACTGTTAGTAGAATGTCTAAAGTGGACTATCGAAATAAAGTGTTACCATTTATTTTTATTTTTGTGACAGTCTGCATATTTGTCATGCAATTTAAAATGTATAATGCAATTTTAAAATTTACTTGCAGGTAATTAATGTTTTGATGTAGTTTTCGGCATTGTGGTCAAAATAACATTTCTAGCCAAGCCAAACATTACATGATGGGAGGAAAACAGCTGACCAGAAAGTATATCCACTAAAGCCAATATAAAACTGTCAGTGAAGTTAAGCTGTAAATTGCGTGTTAGCCTTGGAAATGTTTTTGATAGAATGTCATCTCAGAATGCTGGAAAGTATGACAAGTCTTTTTTTAAAGACACTGTGAAAAAGCTCTGCTTTAGTTTTCTAAATAGTCAAATAACCTACTAAGTTTGTGGGTTTAATACAACTATAGCATTAAATTTAACCTCAGTGTTCTTGGCTTTTCTGCTTAGGTTGTGTACGTCACGGCAACATTCCCATTTGTCATGTTAATTGTCCTGCTTGTACGGGGTGTCACTCTTCCTGGGGCAGCCGAGGGCATCAAATTTTATCTGTACCCAAATGTGACTCGCCTTGGAGACCCAGAGGTAAGATCTCAAAGCTATATACATCAAAAGGCTTTATTATATCACCTACACCAAAACATGATTCCACACCACTTTGGTCTCTATGGCTATCAACTTTGCTGAAAAGACCAACACAGTTGGTTCCTAGAATATGTTATGTTTTGGATGCTGGTCTCCATCAGGCTTAACTAGCTTCAAGACAACCTTAGTCAACTAGCTGCAACAGAAAGACCAACTCTAGTTTGACCTACTTCCAAAACTAGGTTTTGCTTGTGAACAACATGACTGTGCTAGTCCACCAGCTGTCTAGCTACTAAATCAGCACTAACTAATATAAATCAGCCATCTAAGATGGCCTTTTCAGCAGGAAAAGTGCTGTTTACACTTGTCAACATAATGTACACCAGTGACCCTCTGCAACTTAAACCCAGAATAAACTTTGGATGTACAGTTTACAGAGAGAAACCCAAGATATGCAAAAGAGTCGACATAAAAAAGCTCATGATGGCCTCGGTCAGAAAGCTACAAATCTAAACATGACATGAAGTTGTTGAAACAATTTATATTAGTCCTTCATGATGTATCCAGTTCTGGAGGACCTACAAGAGGCTGAACGCATGCAAATATTTGAGTTTGCTTAATTCATGTTGTCAGTCAGAAAATGGTTTGGCGTCTTGTGTCTAGGTGTGGATCGATGCAGGGACACAGATTTTCTTCTCTTACGCCATCTGTCTTGGAGCCATGACGTCACTGGGAAGCTACAACAAGTACAAATACAACTGCTACAGGTGTGTTTCGATGTCCGGGGGGCGGGAGGGGGGCTTAGTCCAGTGAACGGGCAAAGTGGGAACGTAGGGTACCTTTGTGTTAATTAACAAACTCCATGACATATGTGTGACATAGGGACTGTTTGCTGTTGGGAGGCCTGAACAGCGCTACCAGTTTTGTGTCTGGCTTCGCAATATTTTCCGTCCTGGGCTTCATGGCGCAAGAGCAAGGGGTGGACATAGCCGATGTGGCAGAGTCAGGTACGAGGGTCAAGCAGCAGTGATGGTGGGCACTGCTGCTGCAAATAACAACACGAAAAAAGTTTGGTCAACCCTGTAGTGAAAACAGCGGCAAAAATCAACGCCTGTAGACTATTCGGAGCCAATAAAACTAATTCCACGACCTAGGACTAAAAAGAAAGCTTAAAATTTGGAACCTTCGTCATCATTCGTCAGATAAAAACCAAAATGAAAAGAAATGTAGAAGGTCTCTTGGTGGAAAGCGGAATTCGATTGGAATCGACTGTAGAACTGTACGGAGAGTGCATTCTTGGAGCCACTGGGAACATTGAGTCCTAGTCCACTAATGGCGAAGAATCAACTTTTGTGTGAAACAGCATTGACTGCTGTTCAAGACAGTTTCCACTGGTGACCCTAATCAAGAAGCATCTTGTGCCAAGTTCAGGATAGAAGCAATTTACAACATGCTTTTGGAGAGTTTGGGTTTAAGTCCTCGAGAACTCTATGCAGTTTGACTAAGGTCGCCAAGTCAGTTCCTATTGGTTCCTTTTTCTACCCTGGACACACTACGTGGCCAAAAGTATGTTGACACTTTTTGGTGGGTTTGGCTATTTCAGCTACACCCTTTACTTACAAGCAGGTGCCTACAATGAAGTATACAACCATGCAGTCTTCTTAAGACAGAATGGTTTACTGAGATTCTTGTGGAAGAAGCTCAGATCGGAACACCATTGAGCACTTTTTGGATGTACTGAAACATCAACTGTGAGCCAGACCTCAGTCAAACATCTACTGGAACGCCTTCCCAGAAGGGTGGAAGCTTGTTGTTAATGCTCATGGTTTTGAAAGTAAATGTTCAACACGCACATATGGGTGAGATGTTCTGGTGTCTACATATTTTTGACCATCTAGTGCATATCAGACATTTCTCAAAATGGCTCTTCGTCTTTCACCTTGCTTTTAGACCTGTGGTTCAGGTTCATCTTCAGTAAGTCTCATGGTGAAAGAGATCAGTTGATGTAACGGCTTTTTAAGCTCGAGTTTTCCCAAATGTCTAGTCTTCTGCACTGTTCATGCTTGGGCCCTTCTCTGTGGAGACTTTGGTCTAAGTATGTCTGGCTCAAGAGAGGTGCACAAAACATACATCTTTATCACTTTGTTTATAAGACACACAAACCTAAACTTTACTTGAACTTCCGTGCATATCAGCACAATTATGTTTGTATGGAGCCACAGGATCCTTATCAGAGAGTGTTTCAGGATTATTTGGTTGGATACATTTCTAAACATTTCAAATGGCAAGAAGCTAAAAGGTGCTTTTTTGCAAAAGAGAAGTACATTTTGGGGCGTTCAGTCATAGATGCATCAACCTGACTCTGCGGAAAGTGCATTTTACTGTACTTTGACATTATGCTATGTGGGTCATTGTTTCAATTTGGTATTTGGTTTTATTATATACTGTATGTGTTGTTCTTGTTTTTGCATCTAACCCCTGTTGAACAGATTGGATCCTACATTGTTGCAGTAGCAAATGGATGTGTTTGTATGTTACCGCTGAAGTTGTTCTTTGTACTGTAATGTTGAATATGGAACCTGTAGTATTACACAAGGGAAATATCACACCGCTCATGAAACACTTTCTAGATTTGGAAACGGCCGAAGCTAACCTCAAGATGCTAATTTCGCAAGAAGATGCAGTGAAACAGTCATTGGACTGTTTATCAACGAATCACTGGCAGTAATTTTGCCTGGCTTGATCGCTTTGTCATGTAGATATTCGCTCCATTTTTCTTTCATGTCTCCTTTTTGGTCTGTGCCGACAACGAAACGCGGCATAGATCAAAGTGTGCAAATTGCTAGCATTGCTAATTGTACTTTCTCCACTTCCCCACCCCCTCTGTTCTCTTCCCAATAGGTCCTGGCCTGGCCTTCATTGCTTACCCTAAAGCTGTGTCTATGATGCCACTTCCTACATTTTGGGCAATTCTTTTCTTCATTATGCTTCTGCTGTTGGGCCTCGACAGTCAGGTAAGTATCATATGAAAAACTGTTATGCTAAACGGCTTAAGAACCGTTAGTTTACAGAGTAGTAATTGCATACAGCCAGATGTTGATGTTCAATCCAGTCTGTGGACCTTTCAGAAAACATTTTTGGAATTAAATAGCTAATGGCTAAAGATAATTCCTTAGCTAACAATTACAGTGCAGTAGGTTAAATACAATTAAAAAGCTCTGTAAATCCAACAACAGATCAGTGTAGCAAATTAAGCCACAGTACACAAGAAAACATGGTGACAAACAGGGAAAGAAAAACTTTGTTGGCAGCTAATCGCCCATGCAGCAGTCCTATACTATCATATTTCTCGGTTCCAGTGAAACTGAACACTCTGCTAAATCAGTGTCCATCCACATCCCGAGGGTCCACTAAACTACGGTGTGGTGCTTGAACTGTTAAATTAAGTATCTAAAATAATATTCATGCAGCTGTGCTAGTTAACATTTAAAGGGGGTCTATGTACAGTACTACTTACAGTAATAGATACATCTCATTACAGTATGTTACAACTTCATAGACCTATCAAACTAATGCTGAACTGCACTGACCTATTTCCTGTTGACAGCCCTCAAAGCTAATAGTCCTGAACAAAAAGCCACAAACTCAGTTCCATGAGCTTCATTCTGTCAGAAAGCTACAAATCTAAACATGACATGAAGTTGTTGAAACAATTTATATTAGTCCTTCATGATGTATCCAGTTCTGGAGGACCTACAAGAGGCTGAACGCATGCAAATATTTGGGTTTGCTCAATTCATGTTGTCAGTCAGCAAATGGTTTGGCGTCTTGTGTCTAGGTGTGGATCGATGCAGGGACACAGATTTTCTTCTCTTATGCCATCTGTCTTGGAGCCATGACGTCACTGGGAAGCTACAACAAGTACAAATACAACTGCTACAGGTGTGTGTCGACGCCCCGGGGGCGGGAGGGGGGCTTAGTCCAGTGAACGGGCAAAGTGGGAACGTAGGGCTCCTTTGTGTTAATTAACAAACTCCATGACATATGTGTGACATAGGGACTGTTTGCTGCTGGGAGGCCTGAACAGCGCTACAAGTTTTGTGTCTGGCTTCGCAATATTTTCCGTCCTGGGCTTCATGGCACAAGAGCAAGGGGTGGACATAGCCGATGTGGCAGAGTCAGGTACGAGGGTCAAGTAGCAGTGATGGTGGGCACTGCTGCTGCAAATAACATCACGAAAAAAGTTTGGTCAACCCTGTAGTGAAAACGGCGGGAAAAATCAACGACTGTAAACTATTCGGAGCCAATAAAAGTAGTTCCAGGTCCTAGGACTAAAAAGAAAGCCTAAAATTTGGATTCTTCTTCGTTATTCATCAGATAAAAACCTAAATGAATTAGCGAAATGTAGAAGGTCTCTCGGTGGGAAGCGGAATTTGCTTGGAGTCAACTGTAGAACTGTGCGGAGAGTATGTTCTTGGAGCCACTGGGAACATTAAGGCCTACTCCACTAATGGCGAAGAATCAACTGTTGTGTGAAACAGCATTGCCTGCTGTTCAAGACAGTTTCCACTGGTGACCCTAATCAAGAAGCATCTTGTGCCAAGTTCAGGATAGAGGCAATTTACAACATGCTTATGGAGAGTTTGGGTTTAAGTCCTCGAGAACTCTATGCAATTTGACTAAGGTCGCCAAGTCAGTTCCTACTGGTTCCTTTTTCTACCCTGGACACACTACATGGCCAAAAGTATGTTGACACCTTCTTCTATTTAATGTGCTTGGCTATTTCAGCTACACCCTTTGCTTACAAGCAGGTGCCTACAATGAAATATACAACCATGCAGACTTAAAGACAGATTGGTTTACTGAGACAGTTGTGGAAGAAGTTCAGACCTGAACACCACTGAGCACCTTTTGCATGTACTGAAACATTGACTGTGAGCCAGACCTCAGTCACCCATTAATTGTGTGTGAATAGGAGCAAATCCTTTTTCCAATATCTACTGGAACACCTTCCCCAAAAGAGAGGAAGCTCATGGTTTTGAAAGTAAATGTTCAACAAGTGCATATAGGTGGGATGTTCTGGTGTCTATATACTTTTGACCATCTAGTTCATGTCAGATGTTTCTCAAAATGGCTTTTCATCTTTCACGCTGCTTTAAGACCTGTTGTTCAGGTTCATCTTCAGTAAGTCTCATAGTGAAAGAGATCAGTTGATGTAACGGCTTTTTAAGCTCGAGTTTTCCCAAATGTCTAGTCTTCTGCACTGTTCATGCTTGGGCCCTTCTCTGTGGAGACTTTGGTCTAAGTATGTCTGGCTCAAGAGAGGTGCACAAAACATACATCTTTATCACTTTGTTTATAAGACACACAAACCTAAACTTTACTTGAACTTCCGTGCATATCAGCACAATTATGTTTGTATGGAGCCACAGGATCCTTATCAGAGAGTGTTTCAGGATTATTTGGTTGGATACATTTCTAAACATTTCAAATGGCAAGAAGCTAAAAGGTGCTTTTTTGCAAAAGAGAAGTACATTTTGGGGCGTTCAGTCATAGATGCATCAACCTGACTCTGCGGAAAGTGCATTTTACTGTACTTTGACATTATGCTATGTGGGTCATTGTTTCAATTTGGTATTTGGTTTTATTATATACTGTATGTGTTGTTCTTGTTTTTGCATCTAACCCCTGTTGAACAGATTGGATCCTACATTGTTGCAGTAGCAAATGGATGTGTTTGTATGTTACCGCTGAAGTTGTTCTTTGTACTGTAATGTTGAATATGGAACCTGTAGTATTACACAGGGGAAATATCACACCGCTCATGAAACACTTTCTAGATTTGGAAACGGCCGAAGCTAACCTCAAGATGCTAATTTCGCAAGAAGATGCAGTGAAACAGTCATTGGACTGTTTATCAACGAATCACTGGCAGTAATTTTGCCTGGCTTGATCGCTTTGTCATGTAGATATTCGCTCCATTTTTCTTTCATGTCTCCTTTTTGGTCTGTGCCGACAACGAAACGCGGCATAGATCAAAGTGTGCAAATTGCTAGCATTGCTAATTGTACTTTCTCCACTTCCCCACCCCCTCTGTTCTCTTCCCAATAGGTCCTGGCCTGGCCTTCATTGCTTACCCTAAAGCTGTGTCTATGATGCCACTTCCTACATTTTGGGCAATTCTTTTCTTCATTATGCTTCTGCTGTTGGGCCTCGACAGTCAGGTAAGTATCATATGAAAAACTGTTATGCTAAACGGCTTAAGAACCGTTAGTTTACAGAGTAGTAATTGCATACAGCCAGATGTTGATGTTCAATCCAGTCTGTGGACCTTTCAGAAAACATTTTTGGAATTAAATAGCTAATGGCTAAAGATAATTCCTTAGCTAACAATTACAGTGCAGTAGGTTAAATACAATTAAAAAGCTCTGTAAATCCAACAACAGATCAGTGTAGCAAATTAAGCCACAGTACACAAGAAAACATGGTGACAAACAGGGAAAGAAAAACTTTGTTGGCAGCTAATCGCCCATGCAGCAGTCCTATACTATCATATTTCTCGGTTCCAGTGAAACTGAACACTCTGCTAAATCAGTGTCCATCCACATCCCGAGGGTCCACTAAACTACGGTGTGGTGCTTGAACTGTTAAATTAAGTATCTAAAATAATATTCATGCAGCTGTGCTAGTTAACATTTAAAGGGGGTCTATGTACAGTACTACTTACAGTAATAGATACATCTCATTACAGTATGTTACAACTTCATAGACCTATCAAACTAATGCTGAACTGCACTGACCTATTTCCTGTTGACAGCCCTCAAAGCTAATAGTCCTGAACAAAAAGCCACAAACTCAGTTCCATGAGCTTCATTCTTTCTTTGTCGTTTTATTCTGTATAATATTCACTCAACATATGAAATCCTTGATAAAACCAGTTTGGGATGACAGTGTTACTTTTTCTTTTCCCAGTTTGTCGAAGTGGAAGGGCAGATCACATCCCTAGTGGATCTGTATCCATCCTTCCTAAGGAAGGGTTATCGGCGTGAAATCTTCATAGCTATAGTCTGTTTTGTGAGCTACCTGTTGGGACTTACCATGGTCACAGAGGTAAGCGCAACAGTCGAATACACTTTTATGAAGCATTTCCCTTCCAAATCCATACTAATTCTAGTCTTTACCACTTTGCAAACAAATTGGACCAGCTGGTTTCTCCTGGCTAAATAAAGAGTGTATCAAATGCAGCTTAGTTGAATGGTCAGGCACCATATGTTTTCCTTTTAGAATTTCAGTGACGTTGTCATTTGATAGTGTGTGTGTGTGTGTGTGGCCCTCAAACAAACCCACAGTTCCTGTAATCTACTGCCCAAGCTCTCTCCCATAAGGAAGAAGCCTTCACTCCCAGCAGTGCCTTATCGCTCCCAGTTTCATGTCTTTTTATGGATGTCCTGACCTGCTTCGAGCAGTGAGAATTCCACAGAGGAATCGCACTGCTATACTAGGAGATCCGGCCTGGTCCAACAATGCACATCTAAGATTCTTTTGGCCCCCTTCAAATCTCGGCCCCTGATTGCTAAGCCCCTGGAACAGTGATAAACTGGGAATGTTATTCTGTGGCTTGAGCCATACAGTGTCCCATTTGTTCCGTGACATAATGTCTTATGTCACCCCTGAATGCATTGTGCAACAAATGTTTTTGTTACCAAAAGAAAACTAGTCAAGTGTTTAGCCAACCCTTGCTCATAACAGTCCTCTATTGTGTCGGCCTTGCAATTACAGCATGTACCAGAGCCTACTCGCTTTTTTCAATAGTTATTTGTGTCTGTTTTTCAGGGTGGCATGTATGTGTTTCAACTCTTTGACTACTATGCAGCCAGCGGCGTGTGCCTTTTATGGGTTGCATTCTTTGAATGTATTGCTGTAGCCTGGGTTTATGGTAAGTATAAGTACTGTAGTAAACAGAAAATGTGACTTCTATTCATAATGGTGTACTGGAGCAGGCACTTTTCATGAATAGGGTACAAATTTGGTGTGCCAGTACTTCAAAACAAAACCCTGTTACTGTTATGTTTTCAACAGTAAAAATGCAAGATATAGTGTTTTGAGTTCATCCCTGTTACTGCTTGATTTCCCCATCATAACAAATTATAATCCTTGTAACTGCGATACCCTTAAGTAGAGATGGTCACTGTCCTGCAGAGTTTAGTTCCATGATCAAACACACCTTAAAAAAATCCAATCTTGGTAGGATTGCTTGAAAATTACAAAAAGGTGTGCTTTCTCAGTGTGTCGACTGTACAAGTTAGCCATTCAACACTGTTACTGAAATTGGTGTAAGAAAAAGAGATCAAACAACAATGTATGTCTTATTTATTGGAAATATGAGTTTATCCTTATCCTTAACTACATAATCAATATCTGACCTCTAACTAGCTCATCCCTGCTGAATAACAGCGTAATTTAGGCTAAATCTGCAACCCTGTTACTGCATGATTTTCCACATATTACTAATAATATTCAAAATTGATATACCAAAGAAGTAAAACAAATTTGGATCATTTTACAAAATTAGCTCATTTACACTTTCCCAGATTTTTTTTTTTCCCACAAAAAATTGAATATCGTCTAATTGAAGAACGCCAATCCACCCTGTTACCAAAATGATTGTAAGAAAAAAAAAATCAAGCAAATGTCTTATTTATTGTGCTTGAAAATTACAAAAAGGTGTGCTTTCTCAGTGTGTCGACTGTACAAGTTAGCCATTCAACACTGTTACTGAAATTGGTGTAAGAAAAAGAGATCAAACAACAATGTATGTCTTATTTATTGGAAATATGAGTTTATCCTTATCCTTAACTACATAATCAATATCTGACCTCTAACTAGCTCATCCCTGCTGAATAACAGCGTAATTTAGGCTAAATCTGCAACCCTGTTACTGCATGATTTTCCACATATTACTAATAATATTCAAAATTGATATACCAAAGAAGTAAAACAAATTTGGATCATTTTACAAAATTAGCTCATTTACACTTTCCCAGATTTTTTTTTTTCCCACAAAAAATTGAATATCGTCTTTGTTACGCCAATCCACCCTGTTACCAAAATTATTGTAAGAAAAAAAAAATCAAGCAAATGTCTTATTTATTGTAAATATGATTTGAAAATAAAAATTATCATGTGACCCTTAACTAGCTCACCCCTGCTAAGCAACAGAGTAATTTAGGCTAAACAAATTTGGATCATTTTACAAAATTAGCTCATTTACACTTTCCCAGATTTTTTTTTTTAATGGTGTAAAAATTGTTGTAACAAAGTAATAAAATACATTTGACTCCTTTTCACAGCATTCCACTTTCTAAGCCCCCCACCACCCACACACATATTGAATGTTGAATGCATTTGTTAAGCCATTCAACCATGTTACTGCTATTGTAAGAGAAAAGATCAAAATTTGACTCTTAAATAGTTAACAAGGTGGCTAATTTTGGCTAAATCTGCAACCCTGTTACCTATTGTTTTTTTTATTATATTAGAACGTTTTACTTTGAATTGCATCTAATTATTATGGTTAAACACCTTCACTCACTGACAAAAACTCCATAATTTGGACTTTTAAGCACTATTTCTTAATCTATTGTCGGAAAGTGCCAACAAGCCAGCAAATGAGTTCTCTTTTCTTGAGAGATGAAACAAAGCCCTTATTGCTGGCAAATTACTTGTTATGAAAGGAATGATTGTGAAATATTCTCAGGTGTGGTTCTTTGTTTGAACAGAGTGTGGGTCATTTAGACTGATTTGCACACTAAATCATGGTTTCTACTGTATGAATTAACCTAGTTCTGAAAGCGTACATAATGTCTTTGTTCCCTACTGTCATGACCTTGATTTCTAAACTTAAATGCTTCATGAATATGTCAGTATATGCCAACTTCCCTTGTTAATATTGTTGCTGCTGAGGTGGCTTAAACCCTGCATGCAGGTAGAGTCAGGTTAAAACAGTAATATTCTTTACTATGGGAGATTTTCCTGATAACATACTGCGCTGTTTGCACAATACACAAACGTTACAACACAACACTTTGTAATCGTTCTTCCCTGCCAACCCCAAACAGGACACCAAATGAATAAACTGCTAATGTAATTATCTTCTTAAACAACGCCGTAACTATGTTTCTGTCTATCTGCACTGTAGTATCATGTCATAATGTTTGTGAATTTCATACCTGAACACAGTCCTTCTCTTCACAGGCGCTGATGATTTCTATGATGCAATTGAAGAGATGATTGGTTACAGACCAAATCCCTGGATGAAGTGGAGTTGGACTGTGATCACACCTTTTCTGTGTGTGGTAAGTTCATTTTAGGTGAAGAAAGTCCCTAAAACAGGTTAAATTAGTAGTTTGCTTATTTATAGATGCATTGTGTTAAAAAAACGGTGAGAAGTGCTTGTCCACAGATCTTCTTAGGCCCACTACGCAGTATGTTTCCTAAAATGACACATTGAGGTCTTATGAAAGAGTATTTTGCACAGTTCAATTTAAGATTGTGTGCTTTTCTACCCTCCCCCATGGCTACACATTCAAATGCCGCTTTGCCGCTTTGGATTTGCTGGAAAAAATCCGGCTCCCATCTCACTGTAACAGAGCTCCAGATGGGGTGACCATCTGCCTGGCCAACAGAATGAATGGATGGAGCTGTGGATGAGTGCAGCATTAGTTTCCATGATATCATGAATGTCGTTTTTCTGTGAACATCATTGGACTATAGGGGGAAAAAAAGTAATCCCTTCCGTATGTACAGCCATACAGCTTTTAAAGACTGAGGAGACTTCTATCTTCCTTTAAATTAAATGGCTCTTTTAAAAGTGGATTAACCTGTTTAGTCATTTTGGGAAACTTGGTTTTACCTCTTTAAAGGGTGATTCACACAAAGAGAGGCCTACAT